TCTTCAATCTAAATAAACTCGATTTATTTACACATTTTAAAAAGGACTGTTTTACAATCTTTAAAAACCTATTCCAGCCAAGCCTCTGTGGACCTGTGATAAGACCTGCCATGCTGGTGCAGGGTGAGGGCCACTAGAGCAGATGTGCGACTGGCGAAAGACTCATCAGGTTAAGGGTGCCCCAGGGGAAGGGCCGGCCGCAGGCTGGCTGAGGACGTCGGGAGACCCCACCCCACCAGCACTGCCACAGCAATGCCCTGGCAGACAAGCTCACATCTGTTTCTCTTCCTCACTCTTTAGAATACAGACCTGGTGGTCAGTGAGGGAGAAGACTGGACTCTTAGCCCTTCCATTTAATGCTATTAACATGGTTTTGCCTTTTAATTCTCTGTTTTCATCACATTCAAAAGGCAATATAGATTTCTGCTCTAGCTCAGCATGATGACTACATTGACCCAAATCGGTGCTGAACCTGGTCACTTCTATTGATAAAGGATATAAAGTTTAACAGACATGCTACCCACAACCCTGCCCCACCACCTCATTCGTGCAGTTGCTCAAGTTCCTGTGACATAAACATCTGGATTTTCTGTGTGAGAGGGAATGTCCTTTTAGCACCGCGGACGTCATCATTCCCCCAGTCTGGCTAAGTTAACCCTCACTCCCAAATAACATGGTGGTAGTAGCCCTGGCTGGTTTGGCTCAGTGGTTGGAGCATCGGCCCTTGGACCAAAGGGTCCAGGGTTCAATTCCTAGTCAAGGGTTTGTACCTGGTTTGCAGGATCCCCTCCTCCCCCATCCCCGGTCGGGGAATGTGTGGAAAGGGAGGGAGGAGAGGAAGAGACAGAGAGAAACATCAATGTGAGAGAGAGACACATCGATTGGTTGTCTCCTGCATGCGCCCAGACTGGGGCCAGGAATGGAGCCTGCAACCAAGATACATGCCCATGACCAGAAATTGAACCCTTCTGTGCTTGGGCCAACGCCGCAACCAATGAGCAAAACTGGCCAGCGTAGGATAGGGTTCCTTTGTACTGGGCACTAAATGAATCGTTTTGTGCTCTACCTATGGGTCTTGGAGGATGTGCTTACTTCGGATTTATTTCCGCGAGTGCTGGGTGCCGGTTGCTGTTCCAGACCCTGTAGTTGTGAGTGTTCTTCCACGCCATCACGAAGGCCGTCCCGTAGTCCGCGAGCACCTTTTCATTATCTGTCAAGTGAATGTGTGAAAGCTGAGCTGCACTGTAGCCGGTCAGGGGTGTGAAGATGAACCACCAAAAAGGGTAAAGGACCAGTTTCACCCCCTCTGCCCGCTGCGCTCTGGGGGAGTCTACCAGATCTCAGGAAATCAGGTCTAGCACCAAACGTCCCGTTAGAGGCCGTGTGGTCTTTGGCAAGTCACTTAGCCATAGAGAACGCCATTTCCCTAACTGGAAAAGAAGGGGGCGGGCCCAGAGACCGTCCAAGGCTCCTTACAACGCCAAGTTCGGTCCCGGTCTCCTTCCCAAGGTCAGGAGGCACAGTGTTATTTATTAAACAAACTGCAGGCTGGACACTGAGCCAAAGTTCTGATGTTTACATAGGGAGGAGGCAAGCAGGGCATCTTTTATCTGGGCACAAAGTCACTGTTCCTAAGAAAAAAATGACAACGAGTGCACGAATTGGTTCTTTAGCCACTATTTCCTCTCCTTTGGACTCTGTCTCGCTATTTGGTGAAACTCACTCCAGAGTTTCCATGCATTTTGCTGTCAAGATACTTAACACAACAAGGGAATTTCCGTATTTAATGTTTAAAACTTTTAGGCTTTCTCAGTGTCGTGGGAGAGTTTCAATGCAGGCATTTCTTCTACTTGGAAGGATAGAAAAGGGTTGGAGAACAGACTCCAATGGCCATTGCTTCATATTTAATCGCAAGTTGCTTGCTTTGAAGGTGAAAGGTGATGTTTGTTGCTGGGGAAGGAAGAGAAAGGTACACACAGTTCCATGTGCGGCGGGGGAAGTTCTTTTAAGAACATATTCCCCAAACAGGGCATTGGGCTGAATGTCCTTTAGCAACACGGAGCTGAGCCGGGCGACGAAGCTTTAAATACCCGCTCAGCCTCTGGCCAGGGGTGAGCGAGCTGCTGAAATCACCTTTCTGTAAAGTGAGGATGACAAGGCGTGTGCCCCCGGGACTGCTGTGAGGATGACGTGGGTTGGTAGGTGTAAAGAGCTCAACACAGACCCCTGCACATATGAAATGCGCCCCCCTCCCCCTAAAAAAGGAAGCTGGCTCCTATCAGTCAGTTCTTGCAGCTCCCTGGGCAAATGTTTTCAAAGGTAAATGGCTGGTGGGGACTGGGGTTTTCTGACTGGATTCCTGCATGATCCTGGGTTACAGGCCTGGATTTGGGCGTCTCAGCTGCTGCGTTTGTACAAGAGGCGGACGTTTAAAAACATCCCGCTAACAAATAAGAACTTGCCCCGAAGCTTCCTTCCCAGTGAAGGACACGCGGGAGCCTGGGTGTAAACTCCACACACTCTGTGAGGAGTGAACTTAGGCGGCGGTGGTAGTGCTGGTGGGTGGCTGATTCGGTAAAAAACTCGCTGACGTGACGTGAATGTCCTCAGTGCCACCGTAGAATACACTCAGGCATGGTTAAGCTAGTACATTTTACATGATGTGTATTTCACAATGAAAAACAAAAGCAGTGGTAGAGATAATGGGGGGTGAGGGGGTGGGACACACACACACACACAAAAGCTCAACACTTTGAACAACAATGACAATGAAATCTATGGACCATCTACCCGGTGCCCATGGCAGAGAGCTCACTGCCCGGGCTCCGCTCGGTCTTTTTATGTTTTTTTCTCTTCCCTGTGGGGAATGAGGTCGGTTTTACACCGGAGTGAGTCGGTGTTTCCCTGCCCCTTTGCTGCAATGACATTGTATTTCGCACATAATTGAGACGTTAAGAAGTGACAACGGGGAAGCAGCGGCGCCCTCACCTAGCTGCAGCGTGGCGGCCAGCAGCGCGTGGATGTAGACGGCGAACTGCGCTCGGATCCACTCGTCGCCGCCCTCCCAGCCCGTGCCGTCCAGGAAGACGTCGTCGCGGTTCTCGGTCACGTGCTTCACCAGGTAGTCGGCGAACCTGAGGTCGGCCGTGGTGGGGCTGAGCAGCCTCCTCAGTTCCGGGTCCTGGACCTGGATCAGCGCCTCCTCCACCTGCAGGGCACCCAGGCACACGTCAGCGCGGCTCCCACGCGGTCACCAAGCCACCACTGGCCCGGCTGGGGTGGCTCAGTGGTTGAGCATCACCTATGCACCAGGAGGTCCCGGTGGGATTCCTGGTCTGGGCACAGGCCGGGGTTGGAGGCTCGATCCCCAGTGTGGAGCGTGCAGGAGCAGCTGATGAGTGATTCTCTCTCATCATTGATGTTTCTCTCTCTCCCTTCCTCTCTGAAATCAATACAAAATATGTTAAAAAGAAAAAAAAAAGCAACCACTGGGAAGTTGGAGCCGGCAATAAAAAATACGAGCAACAGCATTCTCAAAAGGTGAATCTAAGACAGAGACAGGCTTTCACACAAGCATTTTTCTTTCTATACTTAAAAAGTGCTCGTTTTCTATTTTCAGAAAACACATGCATAAGTATTTAATTTTGAATTATAACAGGAATTCATGTTGATTGTACTATTTGGGGAAATGTGAGTCACTTTTATTGCACAATCAGAAATGAGTGCAATTAAGGGGAATTTCTAATTTTTTTCTTTGAATGCACAGATACTCTGGAATATTTTTATCAACCAACTTCAGGAACTGACTGTTACCAACGCTGCCTCCACAGCTCCGTGGTGCTCCCACCTGTATCCTTGAAGGTCTGTGTATGTTTTTCTTCCTCAAACTCATAACACCTAAAGCTTTGCACTCCAGTTCTTCGTTTATATGTTATAAGCATCTTGCCAGGAAGCATGTTTTGGTACTTTCTAAAAACCTTAAGATGGCTTAATCTTCCCCCCCTCCCCCATTTAAATTATTTCAACTGTAAAGTTGAACCAATGATTTAACTTCTTCCATACTGATAAGATGTCCGACAGTTATCTCTAGCTCCTTGCTCTTGACCTCAGAAGCATATTACACAGGCTAGAAGTATTTACATCATTTAAACAATAAGCACATTTTAATTGTAAGACTAGTAGGACCAGGCTGCCGGGGTTTGGGGTGCTGGCTCCCCCACTATGCTTGCTGTTTGATCTCTCTGGTCCTTTGCTCCCACAGGTATAACAGTAACAGGATGTACCACGTGGGTGGTCATGCGAGTTAGATCAGTTAGTATGCCTGAGGCGCTCAGAATGCCCGGCGCAGGGAGCAGCCAGCACCGCTATTAGTTAGGACTCTGCCCTCCTCATTCCAAATCAGAAAGGACCCCAGGGCCCAGCAGCGCCCAGGACACTCAGACAGACACCTACTTCCACGATGGCGTCACTGAGGTGCTTCTGTTGTCGGAAAAGGATGTTAGTAGCTCCAGCCACAAACCCCCGCACGGTGACATCCGAGAGAAGGTGGTGCTGCTGCAAGGCCATGTAAGGCAGACACAGGTAACCCTGAGGATCACAAGAGGAACACAGTGTCAGCAGAGCCCCGGAAGCATCGCCTCCCCTGCAAGCCCAGGGAGCCGAGGGGAGGAAAAGACGCTGCCGGTGTTCTCCCACCGCCTCGCTACCCCGAACGCAGCCCATCCTGGGCTCCCTGCAGCCATGTTCCCAGCACCCTCGGGCTCTGACTGCACGGACGGTCGACCTCGGCAAGGCCATCCGACAGGGAGGCTGTCTCCCTTCAATCACTTTGTTCTCGGTTCAACTTAAAAGCCTCCACAGTAACTAACAAGCCGGACTTTTTCACTTAGGAACTGAAATATGAAGCTCATTCACAGGTCCGTTGTTCGGGAGAAAGCTTGTTAGCTCGTCTAGTACCATTTCACCCCTGCCTCTGCGCCAGTCTCTGATGCATGAGCGTGAGCAGTACACAGCACTCATCATCCTGTTTTAGTGTCTTCCCTCTTGTGAAAAATTATGCAAAAATATTTCAAGATATTTGCTCCTACATGCTGAAAGCCAAAATGACACCTGGCAGTACTTGAGTATTTAATGAATTTCCATTGGAATTGTATTTGAGAATTTCACTGCCCTGAAAGTTACAGTTGAATTGCCAAACCACAGCAGGCAGGTAAGTGTGCAAAAAGCAGCTATCTCCTGGCAGTGAGGGTGTTAACACTGGACTGATGCTCCGGAGGACATGGGATTTCTGCCGAAATATTCGACATGGAGCTGGGTTGTCAACAGGTGGCACATTTGTGGATGAAGCCAGGGAGGCGGGCTTGCGGAAACCCTGGACTTGTTTTCAATCTCAAGTTCTGTGACAGTTTTATTTAATTATTTTTAAACTTCTCATCACTTTTCTAAAAACACAGACCTGTTCCCTGGATGCTGTGTTGTTTACGTCACAAGATGCGGGCAGGCGCTCTCTGTGCCTTTTGCTGCTGCATGTTCTGCACCGCAGCGAGGGTGCGCCTTGGGCCTCACAGGTGGTTGTTGGAGGAGACTTCCAAAAGTCGGAATATGGGTCTAGTAACCTGGTTTCATTCTTGGTCTTGACAATCTCTTCCTCTGCCTGATAAAATGCTAACTAAGAGCAGCAAAAGGAAATCCACGTCTATGCATTAGAGATACTCAGCACGGGGCTTGTCCCCATGCCCTCTCGTGACTGAAGGCTGAAAGGACCCCTGCTCCTCCTGCAGGAACAGTCCAGAGAGCTGGCCAGGGCTTGGGGTTCACGCTCCACTTTGTGTGATAGGTATTTGAAAACAAGACTCCCCTCGCCCCCAGCTCCCTGTTGCTAAACATAAATATTATAGTAGTGAATGGACTTTCAAACAGAATACTCACTCACTCCCCCAACTAGCACTGAGAATCCTTGCTAAAGGCACCCTCAGAACGGCCAATTCTTACAAGAGATTTATACTGCAAAACAGTAACAAGAGAATCTAATTGCTCATAGTATTACATTCATAATTTATGCTGTAAGAACAGAAAAGTCTATCTCAACAATGGAATCTTGGCTGAGTCTCTAAAATCATGAAAACTCAAAAGTATGTTTTTAAAAAATCCACACTTCAAAGCTTTTTAAGAATGGGGAAAAATACATCCCTTAAAAATACATATTCAAAGTAATTAAGAAAAAAAAGAACAAAAAAAACCCCCACCACCAAAAAATACATATTCATACTCTTTGACCCAGCATTACACTTCTTGTAATTTACTCTACAGATACACCTGCTCATGTGTGAGATTTGTAAGAAAGTTCGTTATTGCGTCATTGTTTATTACAACAAAAGACTGGAGCTCTCACTATTCATGAACAGGGAACTGAATAAACATTCATCTGTGCCATGAAACACACCCTGCAACGATTAGGAGCGACGAAGTTCACCTCCAATGAATAGTTTGTAAAAAAAATAAATAAATAAGGGGCATAAAAATAGAGACAGTCTGCTCCTATTTGTGTAAAAAGGGAAGGAAAAAGATCTCTGCATTTGTTTACGCATGACACACCCTTGGAAGGAAACGGAAGGCACTGATGATATGGCTGCCAGTGGAGCGGGCAGGTGAGTAGCAGGGGATGATGGAATGACAGGGAGACTTATTACAGATGCGGTGGAACCATCTGAATATTGAACCATGTAAAAGTATTACATATTTATAAGATTACTTAAAACACTAGTTGAAAATAGCTTTCACATTTTGCTATCATTACTTTAAAAAAAAAAAAAGATGATCAAATGAGCCTAAACCTCTAAATAGCCTTAACACACAGAGGCAGCAAGAACTTGGGTCCTTTCACATAAAGCCGCCTCTATACCCAAACCCACCCCGGTCTTCCATTTCCCTAGGGTACTTTAGCTTCCACTTGGAGCTGCCATATCTAATGGTAAGAGGAAAATGAAAAGTTGGTTGCATACCCATGTTCACAGCAGCATTATTCACAAAGCCAAAGAATGAAAGCAACCCAAATGTGCACCGAAGGACGGTGGACAAACAAAATGTGATGTGTACTTACACTGCAGTATGACTCAGCCTTAAAAGGGTGCAGTCACAAAAAGGTAAATTCGCTATGATTCCACTCATAAGGTATTAAAGTAGTCAAATTCATAAACAGAAAGGAGGGGGGTTGCCAGGGGCTGGGGTGAGGAGAGAACGGGAAGTTGGTGCTTAGTGGGTATAGACTTTCAGTTTTGCAAGATGACAAAGCTCTGGAGATCTATAGCATAACAGTGTGACTATAACTTAACACTACCGAACCACACACTAAAAATGGTAGAGGTAAATGTCATGTTTTTCACCATAATTAAAAAACAAGTCAACCCCCCATCCCCGCCCCCCACCACACACACCGCTGAGCTTGGCAGACCTGGTAGAACCACTGGGAGCTGATCTGCTAAGAGCAGCAGAAACGCAGTGCGCCTTCCCTCCCTCCTGCGCCTGGAAAGGGCTACAACTGATCAGGGCCAACCGCCACTCCTCATCTGGCCTCTGGTCAGGGATGATAAGCACGTTCACCAACCAAGAGCCTCTTTATTGCAGGGCTGCCCATTCTCCCCGAGATTCATCTAGCGTTGAAAGGTAATCCCTATCCAAATGCCAACCTGGATGAGGGGGAACTTAAGTTGATCCTAAAATTGATGTGGAAGAGCATAGAAAGTCTTATTATTATTACTATTATTATATTAGAGGCCCAGTGCACGGATTCGTGCACTGATGGGGTCCCTCTGCCTGGCAATCCAGGACCTCCCGGGGGATGTTGGACTGCTGGTTTTGGGCCCGATCCCCATAGGTCAGGCCACGGGACCCCAGCAGTGCACGAATCAGTGCACTGGGCCTCTAGTCTATGTATATAAAAGCCTAATATGCAAAGTGCCCTCTCAGGAGTTCAACCGTGAGACCAGGAGTTCAATCGCTTGCTATGATGCGTGCGGACCACCAGGGGGTGGCGCAGAATGAAGGAAGGCCCTGGCCAGCAGCCGGGGAAGGGTTGCTCTGGCCGGTACTCGGAAGGCCCCAATTGGCCCTGATAGCTGGCCTGGCCTAGGGACCCTACCTGTGCATGAATTTCATGCACCAGGCCTCTAGTATGCATATAAGATCTTTGGTTAATCTCTTCCCCCCTTTCCCCCTTCCCTCTGAGATTCATCAGTCTCTTCCATGTTTCCATGCCTGTGTGTTGGGCATCTGCCTCCTGGTGGTCAGTGCGCATCATAGCTAACAGTCTAACGGTCGTTTGGTCACTTAGGCTTTTATATATATAGACAGAGGAGGTGACTTACCCTTGGAGTCATGGGGGAGACACCAAGGACCAGAAATATCTACTCCAGGGGAACTGCCCTCACCTGCCTTTTGACATTCCAACACCCTGGCCACCCTCACCACAAAAGGCACATGGGCTGCTG